CGAAACAAGAGGCACGTGATACTACGTGGAGGGGGGAGGGGGGGGTAGTGAGCACATTGCTGCCCCCCACCCCCGATATATCCCCCTCCCTCCCCCACCCCCCGATATAACCCCCTCCCTCCCCCACCCCCCGATATAACCCCCTCCCTCCCCCACCCCCTCCCTCTACCGTGCGCATTTTCCAGCTTGGTTCACTTGGAGCGTTTCGGTACGCACTCAGCACTTCGCTGGCCTCCGAGACGGGCCAGTCAACTCTGGGAATGCATTAGCAAAACACTCCCCCAAACGGGTCTTGTAACCAGGGCTCCGGCAGCTCCCTGTCTCACGCGGCAAGCACAGGCAGTTTGCGTTTCTTAGTTTCAAATCCCGCATTGTGAAACGGCCTATTGTACCATCGTTAGCAGGGTGATCAGTCCTTAACGAGCATCATTTAACTCCCCCCTCCCTCTCCCTTCCTACCTGGTTCATCCCTGTTGTCGGTATTTCCGATTAAGGGTGAAAACTTTAACAGCCAGAGCACTTGGGCTGGACGATAGAGCGACGGTCTCGCTTCATGCAGGTTGGCGTTCAATCCCCGATCGTCCAAGACTTGAGTTAGGTGACACTTGAGTTAGGGGGAAGGGTAAAAACCTAAGTCCTGGTACTATAAAAGAGTAGGGTGAGGCTTCCCTCAATTTACGGGCTCACCGTAGCCCGTGCTACATGGACATTTCGTTCTGAGTAGCTAAATCTAAAACAACAACAACAGCTTCCCTTAACACAGCCCCGCTCCTGTGCCAGGAAAGTCCACTACGGGATCACCATAGCCCGTGCTACCCGGAACTTACTGTTCCAAGTAGCGAATCTTAAACAGCTTCCCTCAAGACCTGAGGTATCTGGCAAAGGCCTTTTTCGGCGCGCCTCCTCGTCAACAGTAGACTATTGTATAACATAAAAGTTAACTATACATAATTTTGATTTATCAGTTTCTTGCTATCGTTCATTCCAATGTCTAATTTTGTCACTTAATCCTTTTTCTGATTGACCTATGAATTGACACCAATTTGAGTGGCTGGGAGAAAGAACTTTTAAGGAATTGGACCTGCTTGATACCTGCTTGATGGGGTTCTGGGAGTTCTTTTACTCCACAAGCCTGGCCCGAGGCCAGGTTTGACTTGTGAGAGTTTAGTCCACTAGGCTGTTGCTTGGAGCGGCCCGCAGGCCCACATACCCACCACAGCCCGGCTGCTCAGGCACGTCTTTTAGAAAACAGTCTAGCTTTCTCTTGAAGATGTCTTGGTTGTTCCGGACAGTTGGAATACATTAAATAACGAATAACATTCATCCTTTCACTGATTAGCACAAGCAAAAATAGTACAGTAATCCCCACGTCACTGTACGAGACACTGCAGCTCTTGCCACCTTGCCCAACCACTTGGGCTGGACGGTAGAGCGACGGTCTCGCTTCATGCAGGTCGGCGTTCAATCCCCAACCGTCCAAATGGTTGGGCATCATTCCTTTCCCCCCCGTCCCATCCCAAATCCTCATCCTAATCCCTTCCCAGTGCTATATAGTCGTAGTGGCTTGGCTCTTTCCCCTGAAAACCCCCCTTCCCTCCGCCACCTTGCGCTAAATGAATCACGTCAAAACAGGCGATTTACAAATATTCCCAGAGCACCCGACCCTGTAAAAAGCTTGAGGGAAGGGGGGACCGAAAGGGTTTAAAGTGGGTCTAACGATGTTCACTGCTTTCTCGCCCCCTAGACGAGACTTCAAGCTTGGCTTGGCCAAGCTTGGTACTATAAACCAAGATGGCTTGGCAAGCTTGGGCAACCAGGCCCCACAACACCACAATCAACGCCCAGCTCACAATTAGGGCGAGCGGGGAGGCTTGTCTTGGCCAATAATCTACAAATATGCTCGCACTAAACGAAACAAGTGGGAGTTTTAAGAGATTCTGAAGCGAGGTTTTTATGTGCAGGCTGTAACAACCCCCGAATATTGTGGGCGGGAGCAAATCCACAAGGGCCGTGACGAGGATTCGAACCTACGTCCGAGATCGGGGCGTCGGAGCCTATAGCTTCCTCGGCGCCGCAATGGTGGCAGAAGATGGGATGAGGAATCTTGGGAGGAGTGTAAGGAAGTGGTTCTTGGTGGGGGAGACACTACAGCAATTAGAGATTAAGAAGATGCTATTGGATGGGGGGGGGGAACCTTCAGTAATTGGAAGATGTAGTGATGCTACTTAGAGGGAAGAAACTGCAGGGAAGTTGTTACTTGAGAGTAAGTAAGGGGAATGGACTATGTTGATTAATGAGGGGAAATAAGGGGGAAATAAAGGGGAGGATGAAGTGGGATATGGTGACATGAGAGAGGGACTAGCACGTGCCTAGAAAAGTAATATGTTGTGTGTAGAGAACAAGTGTTGATCGCAAGATTATATACTGAAATACAGATTGGGGGGGGGGGGAAAGGATATGTAAGTTGTATGTGAAACAAACTATATATATGTATGTAAGTAACGACTAGGAAAGAGAAACGAAAAAATCAAGCACTTTTATGATTTCGTTCTACACTTTCGTATATTATGAGCTTTACAGGAAGTGTAATTTAATTGTGTATTCCTTCCGCTAATTCACTGAATTGCTTAGATTTCTCTTTACCATTCCAAGTAGATTCAATTACAGAAAACACTTAGCCATTTACGTCTATATAGCACTTGCAAGAATTAAGGTGAATGAGGCTTTAACGGTGGAAAGGAACGTCCAAGTGATGTCCGCATCATTTGGATAGTCGGGGATTGAACGCCGACCTGCATGAAGTGAGATGACGGTCGCTCTACCACCCAACCCTAGGAACCACATCTTTTTGTGATTACTCTTATATGTGTGTGTGTGTGTGTGTGTGTGTACTCACCTAGTTGTGTCTGCAGGATCGAGCATTGGCTCTTGGATCCCGCCTTTCGAGCATCGGTTGTTTACAGCAATGACTCCTGTCCCATTTCCCTATCATACCTGGTTTTAAAATTATGAATAGTATTTGCTTCCACAACCTGTTCCTGAAGTGCATTCCATTTCCCCACTACTCTCACGCTAAAAGAAAACTTCCTAACATCTCTGTGACTCATCTGAGTTTCAAGCGTGTGTGTGTGTGTGTGTGTGTGTGTGTGTGTGTGTGTGTGTGTGTGTGTGTCTCCGAGGTGATCCTCTCAGCCATCACAGCCTGGCTGATCACACACCACCAATAAGACCTCATCCAGCACTCTTTCATAAACACGCCCACCGTTGTTCAGACAGTATGTAAAAACTCTGGAGTCTATAATTGTGACCTCTAATTACGATTATAGAACTCCTGTCTTTTCTTCGAGTTAAATAATTGTCATATTTTCACTTGAACCTTTTTTTTGCTTGTATAGATGATTTAACTGATCGTAGATTAAGTTTCTTATGCAGACGATGAGTCTCAATAAAGTGGCAGAACCCTGGAAACACAAACCGAAACTGTCTCTATTTTCCGCTTGTTACAACTTGTAATAAAGTTGTTACATCTTGGCTTAACGTGTTTATGACGTATTAGAACGTTGTTACAACTCGCTATAATGGTTGTTATAACTGGTTAGGAGGTGTTCAAACTTGTTCGAACGTTGCACCAACGTCGTAGTTTCGGTGTGTGTTTGGCGGGAAGTGTGTTGACCAGACCACACACTAGAAGGTGAAGGGACGACGACGTTTCGGTCCGTCCTGGACCATTCTCACAATCAACTTGCGAATGGTCCAGGACGGACCGAAACGTCGTCGTCCCTTCACCTTCTAGTGTGTGGTCTGGTCAACATTAAGTTTCTTGTACTGATTAGTTCCTGTTCTGCGAGGCTATGCGGCGCTCGCTGAAATTTGAGTTATTGCACCACAGAAATCACAATAGCGTGATACATCAAATGAACAAATCCACAAAGGCCGTGATGAGGCTTCGAACCTACCCACAGGATATTCCCAGGTGCGCCTTAAATCAAGCGCTTGACTAAGGTGCATCTGGGAAACATCCCTGTGCGTAGGTTCGAACTCTCATGAAAGCCCTTGTGGGTTTGTTCATTTAGATTATTATCTTTGTATCGAGGGAGAAGTTAAAACATCTTAAATTTTCTAGTCTGAATATCTCGCTTGAATATATTAATCTAAACGAGAACGAATTAGTTATATAGAGATTTATAATCACTGGCCGTTGCAATTCGTGTGGTTAAAGGTCCTTATAAGTCGCTCAATAATGTTCTTAGGTCCTATAGATCTTTGCAGTGTTGTTCAGTGAGAAAGTTATGACCGCGGTTTCAATCCTCTCTACTCTTTTTAATGCTTTGTGGTTCGAAGCAGTTGGAAAATTGTCACCTTCAAGCGTTCGTTTAGTTTGGCTGTTACCACCGGAAAACTGTTATACCTGTTAACAGGGAAACATATTCTGGCGTCTTGTTACAGGGCCGGGAGACGTAGTTGGTACTAATTGAGAGCTACGGTGAAGAAAGTAGCTAATCGAGGAGGCCCTGGTCGACGACCGGGCCGCGGGGACGCTAAGCCCTGGAAAAACTCCAAGGTAAGGTAACGGTGAAGTGCAAGGGTTCAGGTCATTACGGTGATATACTGTGAAGGAAGAGGGACTATGGTGAGGAACGCCATGGGCATAGAGGGAGAGTGTGGAAGGGGTTGAGAGAGTGCATAGAGGGAGAGTGTGGAAGGGGTTGAGAGTGCATAGAGGGAGTGTGTGGAAGGGGTTGAGAGAGTGCATAGAGGGAGTGTGTGGAAGGGGTTGAGAGAGTGCATAGAGGGAGAGTGTGGAGAAGTGTCTCCGTGAAGGAAGAGAGGGAAGGAAGAGTGAAAGAAGTCGAAGTGTACAGCAAAAAATCATGTGTGTGTCGTTCAAAATACTTGTTGAAGGATGCAGAGAAGGGATGGACGGGGGTTAGGATCAATGAGAGACCAGACAAAACACTGATGCTCGTCTGAAATCAAGAATTCAAGAACAAATAGCTGACCATCACTGGCGGTCGGCATATTCTTAGACCACGCCGCCGCCGCCGCCCCCGCCGCTGCCGCCCCCGCCGCCGCCGCCCCCGCCACACGCGGTCATCAATAAACAGGATAATCTTGAAACCTCTGCTGGACCCACAGCTCAAGAGCAGCCTGCTGGTAACGTGTTTCACCTTTGTGTTCTGAGGAAGGCGAAAGGCGAGACGTTAATACATTTACAAAAAGTCTCATTTATGGGAAGTTTCGTTCTAGTCCCGAAAACACATGTATATATATGAACAAGTCCACAAGTGGCCGTGATGAGCGTTCGTACCTACGTTCATTTGAACAAATCCACAAGGGCTGTGATGAGGATTCGAACCTGCGTCCGAGAGCATCCCAGACGCTGCCTTAATCGACTGAGCTACGACATGGGTTGAAACCGAAGTTCTACTGAACTTACTGGATCCTGCAGCCTCTCCGAACGTGTGCTACGTTCATTTGATCCATCACGATATTGTGATTTCTGTGTGTAATATATATATATATATATATATATATATATATATATATATATATATATATATATATATATATATATATATATATATATATATATATATAATATAATATAATATAGCCATTGCATGGGGAGTATATGGCTTCTTGCTTTCGTTATTGAAATGCAACCTACGGGGTTAATAGCCAAGAACTATTGTGCGCTGTTCGATGGATATGAATATCTTTGACAGGAAGAAGTGAACTGCCGTAGGAACAAACTAACAATCTCTCTCTGTTGGTTAAAGTTGTCGCTAGTTAAGTATTCCCGACTTGAATGACCCGACGACATTCGCGAGATAGTCTTACGCAATTCCCAAGACCCAATTTTTAACAAACGCCAACAAATGTCTTACGACCCAAGACATACTAGCGGTATGTCTAGGTGCAGGCGATGAGTCACAATAACGTGGCTGAAGTAGTTTGACCAGACGACCACACTAGAAGGTGAAGGGACGACGACGTTTCGGTCCGTCCTGGATCATTCTCAAGTCGATTGTCGACTTGAGAATGGTCAAGTCGACCGAAACCGTCGTCGTCCCTTCACCTAGTGTGTGGTCTAGTCAAAATATAAGAACATAAGCACAAAGGTAACTGCAGAAGGCCTATTGGCCCATACGAGGCGGCTCCTATCTATAACCACCCTATATACTATAAACTACCCTATAAACTATCAAAATATGACTAGGTACCATGGAAACCATACAGCCAGCTCGGAACTAGCTACCAGTAACCTAACCCACCATCTTGGTGGCTAGGGTTTGAAATACTAGTAAATGAATCATTAATAACGTGTTTCTATTGGACATTATAGTTTAGTTCGTCACTCCATCGTCTCAAAATGACTTTCATTTACAAGCAGTACTGAACCCTGTCCATGGAGGACAGAAGAAAATGTATATATGCTGGTTAGCATTGTAAATGTGTGGCCACGTCTGTGGTAGAAAATAATAAAAAAAAAAGTACTACAGATAGGCCTAGTTGTGTACACGGGGAGGCCCACGAGAGTTCATAATTGACCTTAACTCCGCTGGGGACCAAATTCTATAACCGATTAATGATTGATAAAGATTAAGCCACCCAAGAGGTGGCACGGGCATGAATAGCCCCGTAATTCTATAACCGGCACTTTATCAACTTATATAGCAGTGGTGTGGTCAAGAGGCGTATTGGGTAATGGGGGACCTTAGCTGTAGTTAACATGAGCTGATGTTTAATTGGCGATATAGTATTCAATAATGGTAAATGGGTGCAGGACTAAACGGGTACTAGAGTAAGCAGGTTCGATATCAAACAGGAGCTATGATAAACAGGAGCTATACTAAGCAGGTGCTATACTAAACACGCACTGCAATAAACAGATGCATTAACAAACCAGTACTAAACAGGCGTTATGGTAAACAGATGATAATCTTTAATATATTTTTAGTAAAGAATAGCGTAGATAGAATATATAAGAACTTGTACTCTAGTGGACAGGTGCTATTCCATGCAGGTGCTATACAGTATGGAATCTTAAGTTTGACAAGAGGTGCTAGATATAATCTTGAGGTTATCTTGAGATGATTTCGGGGCTTTAGTGTCCCCACGGCCCGGTCCTCGACAAGGCCTCCACCCCCCAGGATGCAGCCCGTGACAGCTGACTAACACCCAGGTAACTATTTTACTGCTAAGTAACAGGGGGCATAGGGTGAAAGAAACTCTGCCCATTGTTTCTCGTCGGCGCCTGGGATCGAACCCAGAACCACAGGATCACAAGTCTAGTGTGCTGTCCGCTCGGCCGACCGGCTCCCGACTATATAAGATACTAGATATAGTTATTGACCAGGTACTAGATATAGTACTAGCTATCGTACAGGCGCTAGTTATGCTACAGGTGCTAGTTAACAAGTACTCCAGGTAGCTGGTATGTGTTTCACTTGTACCGCCATCAGTTGTTGTTTCAGATTTAGCTACTCAGAACGAAGTGACCATGTAGCACGGGCTATGGTGAGCCCGTAAGAACGCGATGTTTCACGTTAAGATTATATAGCACTGTGGTCAGGATAAGGCTTTGGGATGGGACGGGGGGGGGGATGGTGCCCATCCACTTGGGACGGTCGGGGGATTGAACGCCGACCTGCACGAAGCGAGATCACTGCCAAATCACCACCTCTCTTGGTCCAAATTACCATCATCCCGGAAACAACGCCTCATAACTGCCTTTCTTGCCCTTGGCCGGGGAGGATTGACTGGGCGCCAATCCTTAACTGTAGCCCCTGTTTACCCAACAGTAAAAGGAGGTACCTAGTTGTTCAACGATTTGGCGGGTCGTATTAAAGGGAACAATCAGGATTTAGGACCTGTTTAAGGAGTTATATGTGCTATTGGCTGTACAAGAATGTAAGAACTCTTGTATATATATATATATATATATATATATAATATATATATATATATATATATATATATATATATATATATATATATATATATATATAATATTATCTCAACGATAATGTGATGATGTGAAATTTTAACTTTATATGATCAACGAACGCGTTAAGCACAGCGTATGTTATAGATTCAGCTACTGGGAACAAGTTCCAAGTAGCACGGGCTATGGTGAGCCCGTAACTTACCTGGCACGGGAGCGGGAACACAGGGTAGTTAGCAGCCTTCAGTGGCAGGTTAGCTCAGGAAGGCTCTGTGCAGCAGGTTAGCCCAGCGGGCTGTGCAACAACCTACATCATTGGCTCTATGCCTATCGCAGGGGGGGGGGGGTTAACATCAGTAGCCAATCACAGCACACATAACAGTAATAGGCTGGCACAACGCTCACAGCAACAGCTTATCAATCGCAGTATTCAATTGCAACAGTGAATCATAGCGTTCATTGAAAGCACCAATCACAGCGCTCAATACCAAAACCGAATCATCGTTCAAATAACGACCAATCGCAGAGCTCATTCATTTTAATTAACAACTAATTCACAGCGCTCGGTTGTCGTTACAACCAGTCAGCGCTCAATAGCAATAGCCAATCACAGCGTTCAATAGCAGCAGCCAATCACAGTGCTCAATAGTAACGGCCAATCATTCATCTTTGAATGGCAGCAGCCAATCAGATCGCTGAATAGCAGCCGCCAATCAAAACGATCAATCATAGGCAAACAACAGGCCGCAATGGCTTACACCTGACCAATACAAAAAAAATTCTTGGAAAGATTGGGCATTTCTTTGAACTATATATATATATATATATATATATGCTCTTCATGATCTTCATCAAGAGCTGGGATGCTCTTCAATTAAAAGTTTTAAGATATCGCTTTAAACCCTCAGTTTTATACATCATTACTGAAGATATATACAGGGGAGAGAGAGAGAGAGGGGGGGGGGGAGGGGGGGGGGGGGGGGGGTGGGGGGGGTGGGGGGGGGCAATAATTCTGTGTTGATTTTCGGGATAGCAGTTCATCAGGGCAGACTTGATATCTAAATGTCTGTGTTTCTCTCTATCTCTGTTTGATTTACTGTCGGCATTACCACATAAACGGCAGTTTACGGCACTCCTCTTTTGGTCGCTCTGAAGAGCCATCAAGAAGAGAGCAAAAAAAAAAAAAAAAGGTTGTATATGTACGCCTCGTTTAGGGGGGGGGGGGTCTTTGGCTTGTTTGGGGTGTCCGCAATGTTTGGGCTCGTTGTGTTTCGTGACGAAAGTTGTGTCAAAGCCTTTGTACCCGTCCGTGAGTGCATATTCGTATGGAACTTTGATTCTTCTGGTATACATGGAATGAATTTGCTGTGGAAATATCGTATCATTATCCTCATTTTGCTAAACGTGTTGTCAAAGACCCACCGTCCATAATCTGCAGGAAGAATCCGCTGACAAGGCCAATTGAAGCCCAACCTTAACTTTAAGACGAAATAAATCAGACGAAATGTGGGCTCCTGAGTGACATTAAGTGAGAACCATACGCTCTAATCTGGCTTCGGATCGCCGAGGCTTTCAACAGTCGCAGCAACACAACCGGATAGCTATCGCTTCGGTCGTATAGGGAGGCCGGAGGCGGCCCCCCTATATATATACACACACACACACACACACACCTCGCTCCCTGCAACATAGCCTCTTGTGTTGACCGTTCTCTCAATCTTTTTCCAAACGTGGGGAAGAGATCCACCAGAAGAGGCGAGGTCGTAAATTTGTCTCGTGATGATATCTAACATTTCGAATACATCACCACTGCCGAGGACAAGGACAATGACGTCGTCGAAGTCGGCGTCGAGAACGAGTACTCGGGTGGGCAAAGATGGGGTTGCGGCTTGAATACGGTTATCGTGTTGATGGGCGTGCGTTGAAGGGAGAACAGGAGACCTGCCCTAGATGTTAATGGGTCACTTGCATGCCTCGTCCGGAGCCGCTTCACACACCGTCTCCTCTTCAACTAATTACTCGGACAAAAGTGGACAGCCCCTCTCTCTCTTTGGTCTAACGAGGAGCCTACGTCACACATACTTGAGTTACAAGAACGAGTTGAATACCGAGTCTTGCTATAGACAGCCGGACGGGATTAGCAATCGCTGCTCGTCGACATAACTCATTTTTTTTTCGAACTCCCTTTTGTCGACTCGTGTGTCTTTGTCTAGTGCTAGGGTCGACGCCCGTGGAGGGCCGCCCCCCGGCAGGAGGCGTTGTGGCACCTCAGATGGTGCCTGAAAGCACCAATGTCCTCACCTAGTTGTGCTTGCGGGGGTTGAGCTTCGGCTCTTTGGTCCCGACCACGTGTGGTTCCCAGGGAGTGTACAAGTGGACCTGAGACCACGAATTAGACTTCCATGGCCATCACTGGATGGATGACCACTGGAAGCCTTGCCTAACTGATCCTAACAGGCTTCCGGCCTTAAAACAATGGTACCGGCATATCAGAATCTGCTTTCACAAAACAGATCTGTTGATCAATTTGGTGCACAGATTCAGGTGTTGAGTGACAGCGAATGTTGCCATAAGGCTGGTCAGTATTGCCAGAGAAATCGAGACTTGCGTTGCCAAATCAGGTGCCATCTTGGCAAAGGCTGAACAGAGTCATTTCAAGAAGTCTTGAAATGTAAGTAAATGTGGTAAGATTTGCATACGTTATGGGTTATGTACAGTTCCTGTAGCCTCCTGGCCCCGCCCTCTTTCTATAACCTTGTTAACGAATGAACACACACACACACACACACACACACACACACATTCAAGTAAGTTCACTGAGAAAAAGATAATACATCTCAAAAGGATAGAGTAAATATCTTTATATATAGAGTAGATAGATAGATTTAGTAGATAGAGCTATTTCTACCCTCGAGCAAACACACACAAACACCTTAAACCTCTTTCATATAGCTTATACAGGTGTATACAGCATATACACTCTATAAGGCTACACTATATAAGGTACAAGATATACTGTATAAAGCTGTAGGCGACACCTTGTGTAGCTGAAGCCTACACCTACACACTACATCCACACACCACACAATAAGAGCTCTATAAACTCCTGTCAACTATACATACATACATACATACATACATACATACATACATACATACATACATACAGACATACATACGAATATAATCAGACTGCAATTGGTCACGAAAATGTATAATAATAATAATAATAATAATAATAATAATAATAATAATAATATAAAAAATAACAATAACGAAGAAAGAGACAGAGTCTATAGGAAAGTTATATAGCAACAATTAATAAAAATTATAATGCTAATTAAAAGATAAGATAGATAAAGGCAGTGTTGCAGGAGGACAAGTGATAGAGGGGGGGGAGGGGGGTTATGGGGGAGGTGGGGGTGTTTGTGGGGGGTGTTCCCCTCCCCCCCCTCCCTCAAATGCCCCTCCTCCCCCCCCATTCAAGGGGGCTCATCCTACCCCCCCCCCCCCCCCATCTCCCTAATTAGAACACAGGTTAAAGGACTCACCGCTCTGGGATGTGCGGACGTCCTGCAGATCTTGTTGCTGCTGCTGCTGCTGCTGTTGCTGTGATTGATGTGTCTTTGGGCTGTGGTGAGGGTTGTCGCTTTGTCCTGAAGACCCGCCGGAGGCCGCAGCTGCCGCCGCCGCCGCTGCGGCTGCGACGGCGGCATTGTTGACCCCCTCCTTGGCCAGGGACTCCGCTGTAGCCGGGGACACACACACAAACAGTTAAGACGGGAGAAGTGGGCCATTAAACAACTTTTACTATTCTAAGCCTCTCTAGTCCTTTATTTTATCTGTGGTTCTTGTAGGGTTGGGAAAATAGTTTATTATACTAGGGGGGGGGGGGGGGGAGGGGGGGGGTAGGACTTCGGGCGTAAAGATTAACATTAGCAAAAACCCGGACCACAAAGTTTGTGACAAAAAGGTTAAGGGGGTGGATGGTAGTGTCCGCGTGCAGGCGTTGGTGCTCCTGGCGCTGTGTGTGTATGTATGTGTGTGTGTGTGTGTCGGGGGGGGGGGCTGTGTGTGTGGTTATTGGCCATGTTCCACTACCTGTTCCACGACACTACCACATGCCCCCTCCCTCCCTTCCCCCCTCCCCCACACACAACCAATACCACACCCCAGCATAACCATTACCAGACCTTCACCACAACCACTATCTCACCCCCCCCCCCACCACCACCACCACCACAGTCACTTCTGCGCCATCCCCAACCCCCACCACTACCGCACGACCCCCACCATCTTACGACCACCACAACCACCACTACCGTACTCCACAACTACACCCCACTATACTACCCCCCCCCCCCAACCACACCAACTACTCCACCATAACCACTACCTCACCGCCCAGCCACACAACCATTTTACCAGTGAAACCCACTATCACCATCAGTAATAGTTCACTATACCATCACCATCACAACGCGGCCACCATCTCCACAACTAATATAACCGAAAAATTTACATAACGTAAGGTAATTCTCAGTTACTACCCAATTGCCACCGTAACACACTTAGCAGTAACAGCAATGACCTAGTTACGGTAACAAATATGCAAGAGCTATCTAAATTGGAGTTGTCTGCTCGGGGGTATATGCGCCCTTGGCGAGTGGGTCGGGGTTGGCATGAAGCAGAAGAGTGCCACGTGACACGGTACTAAATTGACCCCCACGAAATATTTTGCAGTAGCATTATGACTTTAATTATTTTCATTTTTTTTTCTATTTTTGCCATATTCTACAATTTTCGACAAAATTCTCAAAATCATCATACTTTGCATGTAATTAGCTGTAATAAGGGGCTGATTGGTGTGGCTGTAGGATCGAACC